TGTCGTTAAGGAAAACAAATTGGTCCAATAGGTGTAATCGTCTACCGTACACAGTGTTTTAGATTGGCTCGTAGTCTCAGAACGGGAAGACCGGGTGTTTTTGTAGGATTGAGACCTGGATAAGTACTTTGAGGTATTACAAAGATTCTGATTTGGTTCTTCAAACCTACCAAATAAAAGGAAATTTAAGATTATGGTTGCAAGATACCTTAATAAGAACTCAAGAAGAATACAAGGAATCCGAAGCTACGGATGCGAGAGATATTAAATACTTCAGCATACTATAAGGATGCTCAAGGATAATAAAACGACCATACAGGACTTTCACAGGATTATTCAATGCCCTATGATTTGACTGAGGATTGTATCACTTACCGAGATCGATGTAACTGTTTCACTGTGTTGATTGTTCCTATTTTTGCATCTAGTACTTACTGATTTCTCCAGCACTAAAATCATGACATATCCTTTCCCCTGCATTATAATAATCTCGTATCCATGCTTGATCACTTATTAAGATGCTTTCCTGCATAATCTTTACGTATCCTTCCTCGAGTGCTCATTAAGGTCTCCTGCTGAAAAAAAATGTTTATAACTTGCTTAAGTATTTATTAATTTTAAATATTACTTAAATATTCCTCTCCGCAGAATATACCCAGTAATCCCATGAAAGCATTTTTTATGTCCTTCCTCTGACTTGAGTTTTTTCAATTGAATATTTTGTCTATTTTTTTGGATTTTCAGACTCTTAAGACACAAGTTCTTTAGCTGGACATTTTCCCAGGCCACAAACCTCTGAATTGGGTCGCGCTGAACTTTTAATACCCTCCACCATGAGGTAAAGAAAACCTTAAAAAAAAAAACTATAGAGAATTCTTTTTCGAACGAGTTCCATTTTAAACTTTAAATGACAGTGAAATGCAGTTTAAGCCTTTTTGCTGTATGGAGACTCCACCAAAACTTGAATCTACATAGAAAATTTTATGCTGCAGGGGTCCTTTCTATTGCGAGGTTCAAATCACTGAATTTGTAACAATTCAGTTGAAAAATGTGGTTAAAATCAGAGAAATACAGAATATCAGGAGATACTATTAAATAAATACTATAGCGGTTGGAAAAAGAGGACATATATGAACCTCTTTCTGCTTGACATTGACATCTATTAAGAACTTCAAATAAAAAAAATTTAAACAATTCCATTGGAAATGTGGTTTAATTATCGAAATACCTAATCATAATACGTTCGAAATATCGGACTAAAATAAAGTACGGAATATTGGGAGGTGTCATTATATGGGGGCTATACTGAGACGTGGATCTATATAAAGAATTTTCTGTCAGAAAAATCAGCCTCACAAGCTTGAGAACTAATTCTATTGACTCATAAGAAACTTTGAACCATTTACGCATTTTTTAAACCAAGTAGTACAATTTTGTAAAACATTTCTGGGCAAAAATTGTCAAATTTTTATATGAAAATATTTTATTTATTGAAGATTATTGCTGAAGAAAAGATAAGAAAAAGCAGTCGGTAAACAACGAACAGTAATCAGCAATAATATTCGCGAACTTGTCGGCCTAAATTAAACGCATTCCGTATTTATATTTATAAATAAATTAATGGCAATATTCCATTTATACGGCGAAGATTCAAAGAGAAGATATCCATTCATGTTCTCAAGACACGAAGGCAACTGCATTGGTGTAATTGAGAGGAATAAAGAATTCCTTGCGGAAGAGAACATATCTTGAAAGGTAAGCCGTATCCAACACAGGATTTCTCATACTTTCATTAATTTTGATATTCACATATATGCAGTAAGATTCCCCATTCAGACATCTATATACCTTTCAGGGAAGACTTTGTATTGCATTCCCTAATAAATCAAAATACGAAATATTTGCCTAATACTACAAAAAGTATATACCCTTACTCAGTAAAAAAATTCTAGTTCGATTTAGCTATGTCTGTTCCCTTAGGTTCAATATAGAGGCAACATTATTCCATGTAGAGCTATACAATTTTACAATTGGTCTTCGATGATTGGTATGGAATATGGGCCTTATTATTCCAGGTATTGTCCAGTGTTGCCCAATTATTGGTATTTTGAAGTTCTTAGTCACAATTTTTAAACTGCATAATTTCAATTTGGTCTACTGGGTTTGTAACCACTACACAACTAACTGGAAAAGTTATACAGGATTTAGAAGTCAGCAAATATTAGAGATTCTAGTGGCCGTCGATTTGGCCATTATATAAGCTTTCACATGAAGAGTATGGAAGATACGACAACGTCGAACTTAATGCAGTTGTAGTCATTACAACAACCACCATAAAAGCAGGCTATATTTGTTTTTATACCCTTCACCGTCCGTGGAAATCATTTTAGCTTCCGAACGAATTGAAGTAGGTTAATGAAATATTACACAAATTTGTGTTTTATCTGCAGGACTTTTGGTATTGAAAATGTGCAATATAGGTCCACGTTTAGTTGTAGACCCCATATACCTGTACTTCCATATACTCGGTATTTGTATACCCTACACCACAAGGTGGTCAGGGTATTATGTCCTTGTGCATTTGTTTGTAACAGGCAAAAGGAAACGAGATAGACCCATAGTTCCTTTTGATGATCTGCATAGAATCACTTTCTGAATTGATTTATGCATGTCAGTCCGTCTGTCCGTCCCACCGTCCGTCTGTCCATGTATTCTTGTGAACAAAATGCAGGTCGCATTTATTATCCGATTGAGATGAAATGTTGCAAACAAAATTTGTTTGGCCCAAGGACGAACCCTATTGAAATTGGAGATAATCGGTAAAAATTTAGATATAGCTCCCATATATATCTTCGTCCGATTTGCCTTTTATTGTACACCAAACGTGTAATATCAGCCCGAATAGTATGGAATTTTGCACATACAACCAAATTAGGCCTGAAAATAAGTATGCCAAATTTTATCGAAATCGGTTCAGATATAGCTATAGCTCCCATATATATTGTTCATCCGATTTGTTATTTTTGTCCTCCGCAGCCGTAATATGCACTCTGTAACAACAATATTTGGGGAAATATATCAAATGCAGCTCAGAAATACCTTTGCTAAATTTTATCGAGATCGGTTCAGATTTGGATATAGCTCCCATATATAACTTCGTCCGATTTACCATTTATTGTGCACCAAACGTCTAATATTTGTCCAAATGAGATGGAATTTGGCACATACGACCGAATTTAGTCTAGAAGGTAGTACGCCAAATTTGGTGAAGATCGGTTCAGATATAGTTATAGCTCCCATATATATTGTTCATCCGATTTATGTATTTGTTACCCACAGCCGTAATATGCACTCCGTAACAACGATATTCAGGGAAATATATCAAATACAGCTCAGAAATAGGTTTGCCAAATTTTATCGAGATCGGTTTAGATTTGGATATAGCTCCCATATATATTTTTATCCGATTTCAAATTAATTTCGTGAAAAAATATTAAAAAATATTATAAGTCTAATTCACAATCACAAAATACTACAAAATCTATATTAACGTCATTATTAGCATATTTTTCTGCAATTTTTTTAGATTTTATATTTTTATGTCAAGAGGGCATTCTGAATTGACAAAATTTGTCAAAATCGGTCCAGCCATTCTTGAGATATAAGCATAACTAACATCACTTTCCTTTGTATATTCACATTGTATATATTTCGCTATATATATCCGATATATCCGATATATTTACTATAATGTTCGTCTATTTGTGATTTCGCCGGGATTAAAAATATTCGCGGTTTAATAAAAAATATGAAATTTATTTAACACAAGTGTTGTAGCCTATTTCACCCACTAAATATTACCCGATGACCATCAAAATTGGAAGGCTTCTGCCCAGCCCTAAGCTCTAGTCCCATGCTAACTTCCGTTTTGATTGGTCTATAATTGCGACCTGTAGAGCAACTGTGTAAAAGCAGGATTTTTTCAGATTTTGGTCCATTTCAACCCCTAAATATTATGCGATCATCTCCAAAAGAAATAGGGTTCTATACTGACCCTAGCCCCATCTCCATTCTAAATTTCGTGAAGATCGGGCCATAATTGAGACCTGTAGAGTAATTACAAATTAACATGGACAGACGGACAGACGGACGGACGGACAGACATAGCTATATCGACTCAGCTCGGCGAGTTAGGAAGATCCATATATACTTTCCTATGTGGGAAACCAATATTTCGAGGTGTTACATAATTTTTAGCCCAATCAAACTTATAATACCCCCAACACATAATGTTGTAGGGTATAATAATATTCGACTTCTTGTAGACTTCCAAGTAGGAGTCTTCTTTACTTAGGAAAACTTAGAACTATATTAAGAACTTAGATCTTCCATACATACAGAAATTGGGTATGGTATGTGGGAATGCTCACCGGCAACTTATTTCCTAACTTCATATTATTAAGTATCTCATAGATATATACGTCATACAAATTCCACATTGTATCTTACATTTATCTATTGTGGATTGTATCTCAAGATAACCAAAATATCTCAAGATATTTTCCACGTGCTGTTGGAGCATCAAAACAATAAACAGCTGTGTTTGCGGCGAATGTATCTACTAAATGTTTACACGTTCTAGCAGTTTTATGTTGTACCCTTTGACACTCATTCTCTGTTTTCATACCCCAAGACTTCTCTCCCTCTCTCAAGAAAACCATGCGCATTTGAAAAAATAAACAAAAATCCATTAACTCTCTTTGGGAGTTAAATCACAAAACAGTACGAAGTTGAAATTCTCACGCACATCGAAGTTGTTTGGTAATTCGCTTTAAATTGGACCCATTGAGAGAGGTAAGCAATGAGAATTTCTTTTCCATGGAGTTGTTGTACTTCCTCCCTGACTTACATGCCACGGCGAATTTGTTTGTTGGTTGGTTGATTGTTTGGTGTGGCACATCTGTGGATGTTGTGTGTGTTCGTCGTCGTGGTCGTTGGCTCCCTTGCGCATTTATGTTGTATAGCTGGCTGAATTCGCCGCCCATTGGCTGCCTGCATTTTGAATCCATCAGATACACGACACCATGGTGTAATCAGTTTTGTTTCGTTATTGTCCGGGTACGGTTGTAATAAGCGCTTGCTAGGGCGAATGTGCGACGGTTTTGAATGCATGAAATGTAAAAGAAGCAAAAGAGAATTCAAATGAAATGCAAATTAAAAATAAACAAAACAAAATTAAGCGAAATTAAATCGAAATTGGAAATTTTATACGTAAAAAAATAGAATTTATGAAAATTCGTGATTGTTGAGAGAAAACAAAACAAAAAATAAGATTTTGGATAAATATCATTAAAAATTATTTTGTGTCTAACATTGAAATCAACCCCATATTCCAACGTTGTATGGAATTTTTTTGTGTGAGGCAGGCGGCCGACACATCTCTTAAAAGTGTATTCCCGTGCTGAGGTGTTCGTCGTTCGAAGGCGACGACGACGACGTCGAGGAGGAGTAGCTGGAGAGGAAAGCATCTAATGTCTGTACGTTGGTATAATATACAAAACAGCCTGACAGACGAATAAGAGCTAGACTATTGTCCTATGCTCCAGAGTCCTAATTTTCCGTATACGTGTGTAGGTGTGTGCGTGCGTTTTCGTATTTTCTGTGTGTAGAGAATAGCACCTTAAAAAAGAAAGAAAGAAAAATAAATAATAAAACAAAAAATAAAAAGAACGAAATAAAAACACATAATACTGAAATCATATTGGAATAACTTAATTTTGGATTACAAATACAAAACCAACAACAATATCAAAACTCATTGATGCTCTATAACCCTCTCAACAGGCTATGTTCTATGCCGGTCAATCTTAAAAACCATTAAAAAAATCTTTTGAGTGCCATTTTCAAATGGGGATTTTTTGAAAAACGAATGTTTTCCAATATTCCAAAACGATATCGAATCAACAATTACAACAACGACAACAACCTTTGAGTGCCAGTATCACATAAAATTAAAGGAAATCTATGGGATTTTCTCAACACCCACCCCAACCGCATTAATGGTCCAGGGTTCTTAAGAAGAATATACATTGATATTACATTTGTGTGTGTTCGTGTGTGCATGTGAGGAAATCGCGCGTGTATCTATTTGCTATGCATTTTAATCCAAAAATAAATAATAACAAATAGCATTTAAGTGGTTGTAACGAAAAGGCAAATATTGAAAATCAATTTATGTATTTAACGAAAGGCCAAAATTTTGAAAACAAAATTGGAAATTGTGCATATAATACAACAACAACAACAAAATATCTCGTAGTAAGCTCAATTGGTGTTCGACTAAATTAGAATCAATAACAAATGGGAATTTGTGAAGAAATTTGAAGTGTACTTTTAAGAAAACAAAAATTTGAAAGAGAATTGAGCAACAGCAGATTTTTTATGGATCAATCTACTACAATTGGATAAAGGATTAAACAGGTTTGTATTTTGTCCAGTAGGAGAAGATAATTTTCAAAATACCTACGAATGATGTAACACTTGACTATGGTCAGTTGGATTTTATAAGAAATTTAAGAAATTGTGGCATCATAGAGGTTTCGACTTCCGATAGAATCTTAAGAAATAATTTCTTTGATTATGTGGAATTTCTCATGGGCTGTGTGAAATAGTTTTATTATTATATCAAATCTGCGACATCATTAACCCCTAGAATGAATTGTCCTAAGGACAATTTGAATGTCAACTTTTCGATACGAATTTTTATAAACAGTTCAGTTTTGATTTATTCTTGAAGAGACATACAGACAGAGGTAATTTTGTAAGGGAGTTTTGGCAATATCTTAAATCATTTCTACCACTTCAACCTCGGAGGAATTTTCAGTAAAAATGCTATTCTTGAAGAGACTCATTAGAAAAAGCACATTCTGAAATAGGCTATTACCCCTAGAATGAATTATCCTAAAGAAAATTTGAAAGTCGACTTTTCGATAAGAATTTTTATGAACAGTTCAGTTTTGATTTATTCTAGAAGAGGCAGACAGAGGTAATTTTGCAAGGGAGTTTTGGTAATATCTCAAATAATTTTTAACACTTCAACTTCGGTGGAATTTTCAGTAAAAATGCTATTCTTGAAGAGACTCATTAGAACAAGCACATTCTGAAAGAGGTCGGATAAATGGTAAAGCCTTGGTCTAACTTTAAAATTATCTCAAAAAGCAACTCAAACACATGAAAACTGTTGAATTGAAAATTGAACTCTGAGAAATATTTGAATTCAACGATAAAGTTAATGGATTTTCAAAATGATTGTCGGCGGACATCCAATATTATATAGTAATTTAGATTCTCCCCAATTTCCATATGAAGAAACATAGTGGAAAATCGTGAATACGTACAAAGTTGAGCTATAACTTGAAAACATATTTGAAAAGGGTTGTCCAAGATATAATTGTGGAAGGTTTTGTCAAAAAAAAAAAAAATTAAAGGGAATAATTAAAAGCATTTCAATTTTGGAATCTACTGACCCGTGAGAAAAATATGATTGCTATGAAAAAATTGAACGAGTTTCCAAAATTTTATATAGTATTTTTTATTCTTCCTAATCTCCATATGGAAAAAGTTAAAAAATCGTGACAATCCGAAATATAAATGAATATCTAACAAAGACTAGATATAAATGCGGATTTAGTGAAAAGTTTTTCCGAGATATAATGGTTGATTATTCGATAATAAAAGTTTTAGGGGATGTCTTTAATATAATCGTGGATTTTTGACAGTTGAGGTGAACCATAATGTATTTTGCCCAAGAAAAAAATCTTGGATTTATTAAAATATTATTTGGGAAACTGTGGAAGATTTTTTGAAAGTATTTTTGTTGAGTCGAGTTATATGCAGTGGATTTTTTTATACATTATTCTTGGGCGGCGGTCCCAGAATATTTTATATTATTATTATTATTTTTTTTTTTTTGACAGCTGTTTTGGGTTATTTGATAATATTTTTTGGGGCCGGTCTGAGATGTAATAGTTGATGTTTCGAAAAAAGACCCAAATATACTTGTAGGTTTGTTGAAAAATAGTTTTGGGGCTGTCATGGATCTTTTAAGAAAATTTTGTGGTGGACTGTCCTAGGTCCTGTCCTAGGTATGATCGTAAAATTTGGATAAGACTTTTTGAAGTAGATTTTTTTTGAAGGTATGTCCGATATGTACTCTAACATCTTCACAGATCTGACCGAAATAATATGGTTGATTTCTAAACATTTGTTAGATGTTCTCCGAGATATAATGATTGAGTTTTCGAAAAATAAGTTTTCGGATTCGTCCGAAATACAATAGTGGGCTTTTAAGGAAATATTTTAGGTGCTGTCTTGGATTTTTAAAATACTTTTTGGGGGCTGTCCGAGGTATAAAAGTGTATTTTTTGAAGCCACTTTTTTGTGAGGTTGCCGAAAAGCAATCGAGGATTTTTAAAAATCATTTTTGGTGGGTTGTCCGAAATTTAAAAGTGGATTCTTTGAAAACATTTTTTAGGAAAGCTATCCGACATATAATCGTGGATTTTTTTTTTTTTTTTTTGGGATTTTCGAGGTATTTTCCGGTATTTTTTTTTTTTTTTTTTTTTTTTTTGGAAACTGTCGTTAATTTTTAGAAAGGCTGTCCGAGATATGACTATATCTTGGTACTAGTTTAGGGGGGATTGTCCGATATGTAATCGTCGATTCTTAGAACTATATTGTTTGGGGGTTACCTGAGAAATAATTGTGGATTTCTTTTAGAACGTAGTCGGAAAAGCATTTAAGCTTTAAATAAATGACAGAAACTAGTGATTATCTGAAAATATGTTTACGAGAAGTTATTATTTTTTTTTTTTTTAAATGGTTGTCTGAGGTATAATCATGGACGTTTTAAAAAGCAATTCTTGGGGGATTTCAGGTATATAAAAGTTAATTTATTAAAGCCATTTATGTAGGGTTTGCCGAGGTGTAATCTAGACTTTTTGGTTGATTTTTTTTTTTTAAATGGGGGACTTTGCGAAGTACAATTGTGTTTTTTTTTTTTTTTTTGATAAGGTGTAATGTCCGATTTTTATAAAACTTTTTCTGGAGAATGTTTGAGATATAATTGTGAATTTCTTGAAAATTTATTGAAGGTAGAGTTTGTCCGATATATTTAAAAAAAATGTATTAACAAATGTTTTTGGAGGTTCCAAACTTAAAGAGTATGAGTAAAAAATCTGTTTTTTTTTATTTTTATACCCTCCACAATAGTATGGAGACACAAAATTGCCTGTGCGAGTCCACGTTTTGGTGTAGTTCCCATATAATGGTACCTCCCTTTTTAGCTACATTAATCACCGATTTTTTTTCAAGTTTCGCATTTGAATATTGTAATGGCTTATGACAAAAGTTGCCTAATATAACGTTTGGACTCTAATATAACGGCTGCATTATTTTTACGACTTTAACTTATTTTTTGACGGATTTTATGTTTTTGAAAATTGCCAAATTTGTTCCAAATGGTGGGGGGTATTCAAAGTTCGGCCCAGGCGTATTTACAGATGGTTTACTTGTTATATATAATGAGAGATAAAACGGTGATTTTTTTTTTAAATATTTTTGTAAAGCTGTGTAAGAGCCGGATATTACCCACACTATTTTGGTCAAAACGTCGATACACATGTCTTCTATCTGTAGATCTACTTTCATAATACACTCGATTTTTTTGCAATTTAAAAAAAAATTATTTTGTGTCGCACAGTTTTTTATATCGAAAAATTCTCCAAACATTTTCTCTGAAAAATATAGCCAAGAAAAATTCTGTAACAAATACAGTATTATAACATGGAGATCCCTTTTATATTTTTGATGAAAACTCATTCTTAAAGGTCTATCCAGTTTTTTTGCCAAAAAGGGTTTTTGTGAGCTGCCAATTTTTATTTATTTATTTATTTTTTTGTAAATAGAATAATTATGGATTGTTGTAGAAAAAATATGGAAAAAATATCCATACTTTAACCGAGGGGAATTTGTGATTGTTTTAACTCTACTACTTTCTTCTTTGAAATTTGCCTAGAATGCTAAAATTTGACACATTATTCTTGTAAAATTTCAAGTTCTGTCCAAATATTTTTTAATCGCATTATAGAAGAATTATTTGTTTTATTGGTTATAAAGCATTTTTAAGGTCAGCTACGCCAAAAACAGCCTTAACTTGGAAAATCTTGGCAATAACGATTACTATACACTTTAAACTTTATACCGTTGGTCCACAACGCGAGGAAACCTGAAGAGAATCATAAAAGAAGCTAAATTAGTTAGCATGTCGACAAACAAAATATTCTTTGCAATACAACCTCACTCTTTCAAACGTACTCATACATTCCTCCAAGTCAATTTCAATGTTTAAAATAATTTCTCTTAAATTATATCGTAAATATTATTTAAATTCTTTACCTTCCCCTTTTAAATCCCCTCTAAAGACCCATTTTATTCAACATTTTAATTTATCAATAATGCAAACTGTATGGCACACATATAAAACTTTGGTTACAATATTACAAAAACTTTTTAAATTAAAAATTTTAATCTACAATCTTTAGAACTTTTCACAACCTTCAAACTCAAGTTGCCAGTCTCTTACCATTTCAAATGTGTCTTTCGTTTCCATATCCAGAAATTGCATTTAAACCAATAACTATTTTTCAAAAAGGAAAAAAAAAACACAAAATGTAAGCCAATAACACTTGTTTCAAACCATTTACATTTCAATTGGCCACAATTTCAAGTGAAACATCCAGAAATCACCCAATTCTATTTGAACTTCTTCGCCCTCTTCTTTTTCTTTCTTCTTGTTGAATGCTAAAACTTTTCTTCCTGATGTTACAATTTTCCACTTTATTTTTTTTTCTTTTTCCATTTGTCACATGGATAAAAAAAGTGTTTGTCTCCATTTTTTAAATATATTGACACGAATTTGTGTCTGAGTGACAAAAGTTTGCCAGAATAGAATAAAATAAAGTAAAGAAAATTGAATCTAATAATGAAAAATAAAAGTCAACCAACAGATGTCTATTTTGCTGCCTTTCTTACTTGGCAAATGCCAAAGACATTCAGTCAATATTCTTGGATACAAAACCACAAAGAAAATCAAATTATTGAAATGGCTAAAGTTATAAAATGCATGAGAAATGAAAAAGTTTGCAATATTAAAGTTAAAATGGAATAGTAAGGAAATAGAGTTGTTTTTAGAGAGATAGAATGGGGAAGTTGGAGGAATTTTGAAAATGAAGCTTACTTTGAGTCACTGGTATATTTTACGATTTTCATGGTAAGAATTTTTAATAGAAGTAAACACCCTTAAAAAATAAAATACAAATTAAAATAATCACGATTTTAATTTTAATTAATTTTCCTTCAAAAATACTTTGGAAAAATCTAATCGCATGGCTCTGATAGTCTATCTAAATATTTATTTTAAA